TAACCTAATGGTTCCTTGGAAAAGTTTTACCTTCGTGACAATGCAAGAAACAAATTTTCATCTTCAGGGTCAATTTTGCGGCAGGTTTTTCACATTTATTTCCATCAAATCGAACGTGTAGGACTCATCAAACTTTTCTTTCCAGTCGAAGCAGACTCTTGCACTGCTGTCGCTCCACGGGAGGAATTGTACAACAGGAGGATGCGCGAAGGACGAGTAATTACATCACGTGTAATTGGGAAAACTTGAAGAGCTTTGCGATTACCCGATAACGTGACTAATTATTATTATTATCATTATTTTTTTTTTTTCGTAAATCGTAAAGTGAAAGAGACACGGGCAGAGCATTACGACGACGAACGAGAAACGAGAGAGTGGAGTCACGCTGAAAACTGGTGTCCGGATGCGCGTCGTTCGCGTGGCGTATTCACAGATGTCGTTGGACCGTTCGATTCGCAAGCTCTCCCGGAGGAAAGAAAAGCAACACGGGCGACCGGGGATTCAGAGGGAGCGAAACAACACGCGCGGGGCTTCAGAGGAGGCCAGATAACCGGTTTCGATCGGTCCAACACGCCCGAAACATAAACGGAACAGAAACCGTCGGCCCCGTGTAACCGTTCGCAATCTGTATACATCAATACGTGTAATTTCGAGCTGACGGTATCAGCCGGTGCGGCGGTGGCAGTGTATGATGCCGTCGGTGCAGCTGCATCCCCCCAGAGAGCTTGCAGTCCTCTCTATAGCCACGAATTGTGCGCGATGTTCTATACGGCTCACAAGTTTCCCTGGGAGGGGGACGGGGGTGGAGGAGGTGGCCGAGGGGCTGAGCGACGGTTTCCCGGAACCCGTCGACTATACAGCCTTCCTGGATGGATACAGAGGCCAGGATTAGAGCTGATTGGGCCGGCCTCGTCGTGATTAGAGATGTTATCAGGCCGGTTACGCTCTCACCAGCGTTCGCCCTCTGTATCGTGGCTACGTGTTTGTGTTCTTCCTCTGCTTTACCCCTTCCTATACCCTGTTCGGAATGCGTACTCTCTATCGTCGAATTGTCGTTCCCTCTCTCTCTCCCTCTCCCTCTC